GATTTAAGTACATACAATCCAGGAAGGAAATCTCACTACATGCTCTTAGTCTAATTGAATGCTCTCCCAGGAATTCGGTCCATTTAAGTGAGCAATCCTAAATTCAATAGCCCAGGAGAGAAAGAAGGCTTCTGGGTAATTTCCCCAGTGGATGGGCAACTGAAGGTCAAGCCCTTTGCTTCTTTTTATTAAAAGTACTTTGTCTCTCTGGTGTGTGTTTGTAAGTATCACAAACAAACCAACAACAAAATCCGTTTTCCAAGATAATGTTCACAATTTCAAATGTTCTGTCATATATTCTCCAGAACTGCAAGGTGATTGTGAAGCCACTGTGGTGTGAAACCTCTTCGGTAAATCACTTGCTGTGAGATTCTGCCGCTGCTTCCTCAAAAAGTGAATTCTTCAAAAAGTAAGCGATATTCTGCTACTCTCAGAGGACAACAAAAACTCCATCACATCTGAGTTCAGATGGATTTTATATCAGTTCAGTAGAGAAAATTGTAAAAGCTGTCTAGTTTTACTAGCTTTCTAAACTTTCTACCTGAACAGGCCACACAATACAGCCATATATCGGCACTCCAAAAATGCACGCCAGACTGCTCTCATCGCGATTTTATTTCCCTGCACTGCCTGCCGACAGTTTACCTGCAGGGTTTCATCCAAAGCCAAATCATTAGCATAAATGACATGCTGCTATACGCAGGCATCTGTTAATGAAATGGCGATGTGTACAACTATCCACACCAATTAGATGCTAATTGAGAAAGTAATAGATGGACAGGGATGGACTGATGCCTGCAGTGATGTAAACTCAGTATTTATCTCTCGCCCTGCCGTCCTCCACTAGATCTGATTCCGTCCTCATCAGCTGGGACAATGCTACTGATTCTGAACCTGATGATTGTCTAATCACAAAACCTGTAATTGTAACCACAGGCCTTTGTATATAGGAAAATGATGATATATGTAAGTAAATAAGTATATGGAATTCATAATTTATGTAATTTGTCATCCATCCATGACTGAACCCATTTAACTGAAGAATTAAAAGTAAGCTCACGTCATTGTCAGTTTCTTCGGTAAGTAATGATGATAATGCTATTCAGCCACCTTGAATTTCAGTGTAGTTGTGGTCATTACCGACAACACAATGTTAACAAACTTAAAAAGGTTAGCCAGTGCAGGATCTGCTAATTGATGCAGAGGTTTTTAATGAGGAGCAGTGAGAAATGGACAGTAAATGTCAGGTATAAGCGCTCCATCTCTTGCAAGGGGAAATGTCAAGGATCTGTCGCAGGAAGGGAGCGCGGGTACACCAGCGCTGTCACGGTAGTCGCTTGTGGGTTAATTTACTACTGGATAATTGCTGTAGCCTTCTAGTTAACACAGTTTTTTTTCACTGTGAATATTAGTACAAAGGTCAACCTTAACGCATGCCTAGTTGAAGAACAGTGGACTGACTATGTAAGAAATTTTTTTTTACTTTAGAAAGACTCAAAGAGTGGCCTGTAGTCTACATAAAACACATTGTTCCATATTTATGTAATAGATCTTTCAAACACATATCATCATTCTGAATTCTCCAGTTTATAATCCTATTAGGGCAATAAAAAATAAAACAAAAAATAATAGTAATAAAAAAAACAACCAAAAGCCTATGAATAAAATTTAAAAAAATGTAAACATGGAAATATACATGCTGTAAATGACTGAAATTGCTGTTCTTTTGAACTTTCTATATTCATCAAAGAATCCTGAAAAATGTATTATGGCTTCCACAAAAAATATTAAGCAGCATAACTGTTTTAACTATTTGATAAAAAAAGAAATGTTTCTTCAGCGCCAAAGTAGTATATTAGAATGATTTCTGAAGGATCATGTGACACTGAAGACTGGAGTAATAGCTGCTGAAAATCCAGCGTTGTCATCACAGCAATAAATTACATTTTCAAATATTTTACAATAGAAAAGAGTTATTTTAAATTGCAATAATAATTCATAGTATTAATGTTTTACTGGTAACACTTTAGAATAGGGACAAATTCTCACTACTCACTAGTTGCTAACGAGCATGCCTATTAAAAGCATCCCTAATCCTACCCAATACCTAAACTTAACAACTACCGTACTAACTATTATAAGCAGCAAATTAGGAGTTTATTTGTTGATTTAATGGTTTGTTATTAGCGATGATTTTCTACCGTTTACTGTTTTCTTTAAATATACATTTAAAAATACAAGAGACTTCTTAAAAAAAAATCTAACTACACTACATTTTCACAGTTCAATTTTTGTGAATGAGCATATTTTAGCTAAACGCATCTGTCATAGGACAAATCATAGATTTGTCTGAGATCAAAGTCTGAGATTTCAGTCATAACTCAATTTTGACAAAATGTGTCATTACTTTGTTTTGTCTTTGCACATACTATAGTAGATTTGAGAAAGCAGATTAACTAATATTTGCAATAAGACACATTATACACATTTTTTTTTTCTTCAAACATTTCACTCATTTAGTGTTTTCTTTTCTATTTCTTCCTGGACCTGTCAACAGATGGTCAATGGTTTTGTATCAGCAGTGCCGTGAACGTCCAAATGAGGGCAGTGAGATTCAGTAATTGTTCTTTGTGCTTGTGGCTGCTTTGTCCTCTTGTCAAGAAAGTTTTTGATTCCTCAGCTTCAATTATGAGAGAAACCGACAGCCGACTGAATATAAAAAAAGTTTAATGGTTATTCCATGCCTAATTATAAAGGCATGCTGGTTCATAAAGGGAATCAATTAACTGAATTACATAGTTTGAAGAAATTAGACGGTTACACTTTACTTGAAGGGGTGTGCATAAGACTGACATGACACCTTCATAATCATGACATGACACCTACATAATCATGACATGACACATGTCATGAATATGAAGGTTTTTTATGCATGTTTATGACAACTGTCATTAAGTGTCATTCGCTCAGTTATGTAATTTTTAATGCAAAGATGACATTGTCTGAGATGTCTGTTATGGGCTATGGTTAGGGGTAGGGTTAGGTTAGGGTTAGGTCAAATAATGTCATATTTGCATTAAAAATGACATAACTGAGCCAATGACACTTAATGACAGTTGTCATAAACATGCATAAAACCTCCTTCATATCCATGACATATGTCATGTCATGATTATTAAGGTGTCATGTCAGTCTTATGCACACCCCTTCAAGTAAAGTGTAACCCACAACACTTTTACAGACTTTTTGTTCATGATTAAAATATGACCGATTCATACAACATA